GTGAAGTATTCATTTAACGTAATCACAATATTAAATATGAGATCTTTTAATGTAAGAAATAAAGTACAATGATAATAATCGCATTTTTTTTTGTCATTTTTCTGGATGTTTAGTTCCCAAGAAGGTTTTCAAAAGATTTCTCATTGAGAATATTTCCTAGACTTCTAAGAATTTACTCCTTAGAAAAACTTTGATTAAAATCTGTTTAACTCATTAGAGAAGAGTTGTAATCAGTCAAAATTCATAAAATTAGACTTTTTTACGTTATATAGAGTAAAAGAAAAAATTCATTAACCTTGCAGTAGCATGCTGTCGAGTGTCGAATAATGTTTCCTATGACACATGGACCTTTAGACTATCAAACCTTATGATCCATTCAAAATTGAGTCTCTTGCCAGAAAATCGGAGGAATTCCTTAATATGTGCTCGAACATTCAGATGCATTTGATGATTTTCCTGAACTTCATTTCTAAATGATCTCAGTCCGAAACATGATTTTTTTTCTAATAAACCGCAAGTGTATTTTATTCTATTCCAGAAAAAGAGTATCTGCTCCTAGCGACATGAAAATAGAATATTTGTTAAATATACTCTAGACAAACCTTTCATATATCATTATTTTCATGAGTAAGAAAGTCTACCATAATTCGAATGCATAATAATGGAATTTGAATTTGTTTTTGAAGAAGAAATAAAATAAATGTCATTATTATGACTTGTTGTCGATAAGTTATAATATATGGAAAATGATGATAAAATTATAATTATTCGAAATGAATAAACTTACAATACATGATTATAAAATGATGAAGCTAATTTTTCTATTAAATTATTATATGAACAAATATTTGCTTCAATTCTTTCTTCATGTACTCGATTATATAATTCTAATTCATATTTTTCTAATTTACGCCATAGATCAATAGCTGCTTGTTTTGAAATTTCATTTGTATTTTCAATAATTGCTACATTATTAAAACGTTTATATATTTTTTCCATAATACAATTGATTAAATTTTATGTACTAAGTTTTCTTGCATGTTTTGTACATACAATTGATGGTCATAATTTTTCAAGTATTTCCCATGAATGTTTAGTCGGTAAAAAAAATGATTCATTGCCAAGAAGTATATACAAACAACCTTTTATTTCATAATGATCAACTTCATCAGATTTATTAAATAATTCAATAATACGATCAAGAATTACTTGGTACGAAAAGGAAAAATGAGAGAACATTGTAAATAAATAAATTGTGCTTGACGACGAACCTTTTATATAAAGTTAAAACTAGCCATTATAGTTGCTGTTATTAATAATAAAGCAATTATATTGATACACAGTCATTCACTATACTTCTATTTGATATTTTGGAAGTAAAATAAGAAAATAGTTCATATATTAGAATCTCAAATTATTTTGATACTGTCAGTAAAAATTTTCTAATCGGTATTAGATAATAATCTCGAAGATATGAACAACTTTTTTTTCTGGTTGTTGTTTGTACTCAATAACCTCCATACCTTACACATTTCTCATTTCTTTTCTGTCGTATTTTACAAATGAAAAAATTATTAGATGTTAAACTTACTTCACTGTATCGATGAAGAGATAATTTAAATATAACTTGCTGATCGATTTGAGTCAATGTTCGAAAATTATTCAATGCAAATAACTATCAAGAATAGATAAAAATTATTTTATTCGATTTTTATCTGTGATAAAAATTGTTTACTTCAATTTGTATTACTATACGTCGTACAACAATAAATCTAAGATGTTGTTGTGCACCACATAATTTATTTTTATATAAATATTTAATAACATTTAAATTATTAGATAATCTATTTATGTATTGTTCGAATATATCATAGTACATTGATGAAAGAGAATAAAGCTTTCAAATTAGAATAATTAAAAAACAAAATAAAACAACATCTTTAACTATTTTAAGAGCTACGTTTATCGATGATGCATCGTCTGAATGATATGCAATAAGATAATCTAGTAAAATAAAAAGAAATTAGTGTGATTTTTCCTAGATTAATGAAAATCTTACCAATTGAATCTCCAATATCGATAAGAAGACGCATTCGAAGATTCTCTTTAAATTCTAAAACAACAAAAAAAAAAAGTACATGCATACATTCTTAATCTATTCTTAGACGTAGAAATTTAATATCAAAGACATCATGTAACTTTCGTATTGTATTGATATAAATATTTCGAAACAAAATTTAATAATTGAAGTTTTTCAATTTATTCTCATTTTATTTACTTGGTTCTTTAGCATAAAGAGAATATTGAGCTTGAACATTTGAATCATATGGAGCAATCGTTGGTACACTAGAAAATAAATAAAATTATGTATGTATTTTAATTTGAATATAATTCAATTATTACTTACAGATTTTTAATTTCTTCACTTTCAATACGTGGAACCATACGTAAATAACCAACAACTATAGGATGAATTATTGTTAATGATCGTAATCGTTCATCATTGGACATTTTTGTACGATTTTCCTTTAAGATTCTTAGTTCAAGATACATAAATGTTTCAACAAATTCACAAGCAAAATCAACTTCATCTTCATTTGGAATATGAAATATAACATTAATTTTATCATATTCAACATGTTGACCCCAAGCCTAGAAATTGTAACTAGATTGATTGACATGTAACAAATCCTAATTATTCATACTCTAATAGGTAAAAAATCAGTAAATGGTTCTTCAATATTTCCAGCCGTTAATCGATAACCGAATGGAGGGTGTGGGTGTGGGTCTAGATCTCTTATTCATCCACACCCACATCGACATCCACACCCCACACCGCATACCCACAGCCACACTATCCGCACCCACGCTCATACATCCACACACCCATACCCCACACCCACATTCACACACACTCACATCCACACTCAACCTTACTTCAGTTTATCATCCATAAAAAACTAAAGTAACTAATTGTGATCATAATAGTTTCAAAAGAAAATATATAAGTATGACATTCAAATTTTTGCTTATGTATCTGCTTATCACAAAACGAAACGTTTTTCAATGTCAGAATCTTTTCAAAGACATATGCATTGATTTTTTTTTCGTCTTGTTTTGAGCTCTTCTTTGTGTAACCGAGTTTAGAATATTAAGAAAATCGATATTTTTCCAATAAGATTAAAACATAAAAGTGGTCATGCATAGTTTTGACTCATCTTCAAATGAAAACAAATTACCAAAATACATGAAGAAAAAGATTAAAATGCAGTTTAGTAAATTGCTTTTGATATTTATTTCAGAAATTTTAAAAAGTAAGATCAACTGACGAAAAAGCGAATAATATTTGTGGATATATATGTCTATAATGTTGCAAAAACAAAATACAATTAAGCTCAATGAGAAGAATTTGTTTATTTAAGTTTTACATGAAAAATTTTTAAGATCTTCGACAGAATCGTCGAATCCATTTTTGTATTATTTTATTGAGTTCACTTTTGTAGACTTCTGATGGTAAAATAAACAGAAACAATATTAACACTGATGGTATAAATGATAGAAAATAGCCAATCAAATATTGCCAAGATTGACTAGGTGATCTCATACATCCTGATGTGAATGAAATAATAAGACGTGGTAAACTTAACAGTAATAAAACACTAGGTGCAATAATTATATGTTTATTTTGTTTAAGTTTTAAACGAAAATGTTCCATGAATGCTTGTTTTGATTTAACCTTTGCACGACTACGAGCTGCTACTATAATAGTTATAAAAGCTGATATCATATTAATCGAAAAAGGCATAAGAAAATGAAAAAGAGTAATAAATTTGTTGTATATAGTTAATGTGGATGAATATTGAGATAAACACCATATTCGTTGTTGATCTCCATCTAAATCATCAATTAATTGTCGTTTAATTGGATCATGAATATGTGTAATTAAAGTTAAAATAATCACAATGAAAATTACTCGTTTAGCAATTATTCTACTTGCTGTTTTGTTAAATGATATACCACTCATAATATTAAACATTCTTTCAATAGATACACATGCATTAAGCCATTCAGTTGATGTTAAACCAGATTTAAGAATAATTTCAATTGATTTACAATTAATAGAAAGTATTGATCTATTAGTTATGATTGACATTTGTGAAAGAATAAGTTGCCAAAATTTAATTATTAATACAATAATCATACACATTGAAGTAATTGATGATGCAAGAAGATAATAACCACAACCAACTTCCCTTGAATTTTTCAATTTGAATGTTGCTATAGATAATGAATCCATGATTAATTGTGAAATTAACATAATCGTAGTAATAATAATGCTGAATATGACAATAAATGGTTGTTGATGAAATGAAGCATTTGGTTTGATATGATATCCAAGAATTGGATCGAGTGAAAAAATGAAATCTTTTGTTGAAAATTGACATTGTCTTCCATAGTAGCAGTCATTACATACACACATAAATGTTGTTGGACAAGTTTCGTTGTTACGAAAACATCGACCATTATTATAACAAAGATTTTTTCCGCTACAATCATTTTTCATCGTATGCTTAAATTGAAAACAATTTGAATAACGATCACTATCACATACACACATGTAATATTCATCATAAAAGCACATCAATTCTAGATTTTGACGACATAAAAGTGGATAATATTTTACCAGTCGTAGATGTTCAAACTGACGAAAAGTGTCATTAAAAAGATGAAGAACTGGATAACAACGATTCTTTGGTAATACTTGAGTATGAATATATTCTGATGGTATAAATTTTTCTCTTAAAACAATTAGATAATAATCGCCATCAGGTATTTGTATAAAAATCATGTTAAATGGTTGTTGTACATAAATAGTCATAGTATTGTAACCGAAAGCAATCTTTTTTAGCGTAGTCATTCGTTCATAGTTTTTATATTTGTCAAATACCGTTATGTAATGTAGAATGAATGATGAACTTATTGCTACTATAGTCTCATCTATACGAATATCAATTTGATTGCTTTTGTATTGACATCGTTCACCTTGATAACCTTCTTTACAAATACAGATAAATTCATGTAAATTAATACGAACATCAATTGCTATACAAAGTCCATTGTGTTGACATGGATTGTTCACTGATTGACATATTGATCTTTTCAAATAACAATGTGAGCCAAACTTATTCAAGGGACATACACAAATAGATGGAGCAAGACAGAATGAGTCATTTGAACATTGACATTGATATGTAATATTACAGAAAATACCAGAATATCCTTGATCACATCGACAAAAAACTGAATTATTCATATTTGTATATCTCATACACTGACCATGCTCTCCACATGATAGTGCACATAGTTTATTTTCTCGTACTTCAGTAATGTTTAGCTGAGCTGATATTCGATTAACAGGAAGAAACTGAAATGGAATTGGTAAATACCAACTTGTCCAATAATCTAATGTTAATTTGTCAAAAAGATCAATACGAATAGAATCATTTCTTGATGAATATTTAGGCCGATGTGGATACAGTAAATAGATATTAAATTTTCTATTACAATCATGAGCAGGCATATATGTTATTTGTTCATAATTGGATGCAATATTTCCTTGTTCATCAATGAGCATGATGATAAATTGAAAAATAATTGGAGAAACAGTAATACTTTGTGTTCGAAACTGTAAAGTCAAACTCACACGTTGACTCTGCCATTGACATTGAGAATCAAAATAATTTGGTGGACAAAAACATGTTTTTGTTTGATTAACACCTTTGAATAGAGTGAGAAGACCATAATGACAGTACCAAGCAAGTTCAATATCTATCTTGGACATATCACTTTTCTGTTCATATTTGTCGAAAAACTTTTGAACAGAACTGTTAGATGTTTTGGATGGAAAATAGCCAAGCTGAGAAGGATCCAAGAAGCGAGTCTTGGAAGAAAGCTGTGCGTTTATGTGATAGTCAAAATGACATAAGTACGTGTTATCATTATCGATTTTGTAGATTCGACTATAAAAAGAGGTTCGTATATTTAGGTTCGGATTGTTAATGCATACATCTTTTTGTACATTCACTCTTTCTGAAGAACAATTATAAATATCGTCTTTAGTTATACATCTAGATTCGTTAAATGAGTAGTAAAATCTGCTAATATCATTTGTTCCATTATCGAAATAGAGGTCGTTAATAAGTTCTTCATTCGGACAATGACTTCTTCGCTTAAAAAACATGTGAGCGAATGGTAAACAATAAGTTAAATTCAGTTCGTTATTCAGACATCGAAATTCGTTTGATGAGCAATCTATATGTGGACAATTCAGTTCATCGATACCGTTCAGACAATCCCAAAGCCCATTACATTGTGAGTATGGATTATGACATGGCCACCATTCGCAGTTTGTTTCATCGGTTCCATTTATCCGTACGAGTGGAGTTCTGTTACATATATTTGAAAACAGTATTTGTGGCAGGATATTATATACACTCTCATTGATCTCATCCTCTCCTTTTGGACAATTCCATTGTCCATTACCAATCGCTACAGGCAACAAGCATTTAGTTGGATCCGACGTACAATTAAATCGGTTTGAGATATTCAGATGACATGTAGGAAATAATTCATCTTCATTATGATAACAATCATTGAATCCATCACCAACGCGGTTATATGATATGCATTTTAAAGATTTATAACAATGAAAATAAGATGAATCTGCACATGATGTTTCATTACCAGTAGTTGAACATTCATGATAGAGATTCCGAAACTCATAAAACATAGGAAAATATTTTCTCGGAGATGCTTCAATTAGATCAGAAGATCGACAACATGTAAGACTATCGATTATTTTTATGGGAACTATTCTAGATAATAATACAGGACATCTTCGTGCATCAAAACATATGAAGTTAGGTACGATATTAATTTTAAATTCATTGATTGATCGATTATTTAAATAGACAAATTGAAAATATCCATACATAATAGGATATTCAGGTAAAATTAACCATTCATTCAAACAATAATTGGCGAGAAGTTCACCGTCTTTATCCCAAGTAGCATCAATATCTTTATCCATTATAAACACATCAGGCAGCCAAGATGGAGCTAAACAAACAGAAAATTACATAACCAGCGTTATAATTAGAGCAAATAGGAAAATATCAAGATATATAATATTGAACAAAAAAGCAAAACAATACCTATGATTGACATTTTAACAAAAAACACATGGGTGAAAGTATTTGTTAGTAGCATGACATCTCGAAAATAAAACGTATGTACCTCGGAATCGTCAACTTTTTCAAAGCTACTCTTTTATGTTCAATGTATGTCGTGTTATCCTAGATATTCTGAAAAAATTAGTGGAAGTGGTGGTTATCTTTTTACTGAAACGTCATCCACACCCATACCTCGAATATTTCTTTTCAAGACATTGTGTTGCTATTTCTTTTTCTACAAATTTTTGCCCCTATCGTCTCTATTATTTTTCATGCTAATACTGAATTAATTAGTGTACCAATTATATACAATGACAAATTAGAATCGATTGAAAGTGTCATTTCGATATATACTAGACAATTTAAGAATATGATTTATTGATGGAAAGTTATTCTCGATCGATGAAAAAAAAAACTACCATTGCAAAATGACGAAAAAACTTCAATGTTCGATGTCTTATGAAAAATCTAGATGAGCACTGAGTCAAGTTCACTCTTTTTGACTTACTAGATAACTAACAACTTAATATTAGACTGAAAAATTGATGTTATTTAGTTGTGCCTTTGATATGTCTTTTGTAAAGTAAGTTTGTCAAAAATACAGTTGATTAAAAATTTCAACTGTCTCATAATCCTTCTGGCTTTATATACATAATCAAATATAATTCTGTTCAAAGTCTTTGAGAGAGTTAATATTTTTTTCAAAATAGATTATTGACGATAGAGATGAAAGTAGTCTACCAGTTTTATAACTAATGTCCGTCCAAAAAGTCCGTGCGTGTGACTATTTTTTGAATAATTTTTGATAGGAACAAGATACAGACCTGCAGTTTTCGGCGTTCGACAGCCAAGGCGAAGAGGCTGGGTGTGGGTGTGGGTGTGGGGGTGTGGGTGTGGGTGTGGATGTGGGGTGTGGGTGTGTGGGTGTGGGTGTGAGTGGGTGTGTGGCTTAAATGGAGAACCAGACCCACACCCACACCCACCCACACCCACACCCACACCCACACCCAACTCTTAAATACATTGAGGAAGGTTATTTGAAATTTTTCAATTTAATTATTTAATTAATTCTCTTCCTGTTAAAGGTGTTATATTAATATGATTATAATTTAATTTTTGATATTAATTATATTTGGGTCAAAATTATTATTTTTAATGTTTTATTCTGTTTGGTAAATAAATTAAAATTTGAGTTTTTAATAATGAGATAAAATATAATAAAGAAATAAAGAGATAATAATAAAATGCATAATTATTAAAAACGTTTTGGAGAAATCTTTCTCCTTCTTTAGTTCATTTTACTTTTGGTGTTATGCTGTTTTGTTATTTACCTATCTGTCTATTCTTTTTTTTTCTTTTTCTATTTTCTATACCAATGGAATGGATGGTGAGATCACATAAAGTTTTATCAACCAGTATCACCGTCTTGTTTTACGTTCCACTATTATAGAAAACAGAACAAGGAAAAAAAAAGAATAGACGGATAGGTAAATAACAAAAAAGTATAACACTAAAAGTAATATGAACCGAAGAAGAAAGATTTCTCCGAAACGTTTTCAATAATTATACATTTTATTATTATCTATTTATTTTTTTTTATAATATTTTATCTTATTATTAAAAAAATCAAATTTTTATTTATTTGCCATATAGAATAAAAATAATAATTTTGGCCCAGATATAATTGATATCAAAAATTAAATTATAATCATATTAATATAACACCTTTAACAGGAAGAGAATTAATTAAATAATTAAACTGAAGCAGAGAAAAATTCTTTACATATATTTCATTTTGAAATAGTTCTTCAACACTTTAATGAAAATTTTTTGAAATTGAAATAAATTCTCGAAAACCCAAAATTCGTATTTATTAATATGTTTAATCAATACTTGCACAATAAACTATTTCAGTGGCGGATCTAGGATTTTTAAAAACGTTATATCTTACGTTCAGAGCATGGGATCCACATGAAACTTATGTAGGATGATATTGGATCCAAATAGAAGGTTTTTACGAAAAAAGTTTTCGATCGAAGTTTGCGAAAAAAAATTTCGTTTTTAAAATCGCCTCCCCCTCAATTTTTTTTTGTTTTTAGCGATAATCTATTGTTAAGAATTTCATCGTAATCTACATCGAATTTCATCGACAGATTCCAAATTTCATGTAAAAATATGCATCCGTTCAGAAGTTATAACGTTTTGAACCTTTGTTCCGTTTTTTGGGACATATTTCAAAAATTGAAAACGTTATAACTCCTGAACGGATGCATATTTTTACATGAAATTTGAAATCTGTCGATGAAATTCGATGTAGATTACGATGAAATTCTTAACAATAGATTATCGCTAAAAACAACAATATTTGAGGGGGCGGCGATTTTAAAAACGAAATTTTTTTCGCAAACTTCGATCGAAAAATTTTTCGTAAAAACCTTTCATTTGGGTCCAATATCATCTTACATAAGTTTCATGTGGATCCCATGCTCTGAA